ATGCGAAATGGTTCTTCACAATACCACTCATGCTTCTTCAATTACATTTTATAACATACAAGTCCCTAAACCTTCTGGGCAAAAGAAGCATTTTTGGTATTGTAGTAATGCAGAAAGAAGTCAAAAGGATCAAAGATTCCCATGAAATATAAGAGAAGAATTCATTTGTTTTAAATTACAATGAAGGCGAGTTTGCTTCATCGCAGAAGTTAGAAAACTTCTGGAAGTATCTTCTAAAGCAAAGTCAGCTTTTCTACAATCTTTCTCAGAGATCAACATTTGGAACTACAATCCTGAAACAATTCAAAAATTTGATTTACAACAGATGTTGGGATTTGTAACAAATGTATGTGTGCTGGGGTGGGGATGTAGGGGGTAGAAGAAAGAGCAGGGAAATTTGCTGTTTTACTCAGTATCCCCTAGATTTCAGTGTGATGCATAAATACCCTTAGAAAAAGAAGTTATTTCAGATATGCAGCCAACCAACCTATAGGCCATCTTACCTACCACTCTTAATTTGTGCTATAAACGCTACCTTAAATCGCTATCCAAGCACAGGTAGCAATAACCTGTATTCCAAATAGGTTTAGAACTTTTCTTTTCTCTGTGACATTCTTGTGGTTCCCATCAACATAACAATATGCTTTCTAATTCATTTAATCTCAGAATGAAGAGAAGAACTAAACATACAGCAGTAGTTTTCACAGAAATAGAGTGAGTGGGACAAATACTTCCTTGACAGGTACCTCACATAATACGCACGGCTGAAATAAGCACATCATTTTTCCTAACTTCTTTAGCAATAATTTTGAGTGTCTAAATAAGCACTGGCACTGTCAATAGCTTAAAATATTTTTTCTGTATTAGCATTAAAAAACTAATATGATTTTTCATAAACTAAGAGTTTCAGATTTTGTTCTAAGAAATCTAATGAGAAAAAGTTCAGCGTTAATTACCAGTGTTACAGTAGAAACATGGGATCTCCAGGTTCAGGTTTTTTGTTATTTTTATAATGCAGCAGATACTAACATCCACTGGAAAAAGAGGGGCTTTTTAATATGCTGTCTTATGAAATATAAGGACATCAATTTATAACTTCGCATAGTTTTAAAAATATTTATTATAGCTCTCAGAAGCATCTCAACAGAAAGAACATACTTGATCCTGATTTAAAAAAATCTTCTCTAAAATAGAATTTTCTCTGTTTCAGAAAATTGAATGATACTAACATCCACTGGAAAAAGAGGGGCTTTTTAATATGCTGTCTTATGAAATATAAGGACATCAATTTATAACTTCGCATAGTTTTAAAAATATTTATTATAGCTGTCAGAAGCATCTCAACAGAAAGAACATACTTGATCCTGATTTAAAAAAATCTTCTCTAAAATAGAATTTTCTCTGTTTCAGAAAATTGAATTTACCAACTGTAACATCTATGCTCCATTCATAATTCATAAGTGTGAATGAATCCCTTCACATTCTCTTCAGAGGTATAAAATAAAGTAACGTATTTATTATATCTAAAGACAGACACAGAAACTAAAACCCTCACAAAATTCCTATTTCACAGGGGCCCAAAAGATTTAAGAGTTTATCAATACATTTGCCAGTGAGAGAAGCTATCTTATACATACATTAAAATTTCTACAATGAATAAGTATCTCTTCTATGTTCTGCTATTTAGTTGGGGAGAGAGAAAGAACATTGTTTTTCAAGGAATATTAACAAGACGCTGTTAACTCTAATCTTTAGACCTCAATTAATATCACCAAATGTAAATGTCACATATAACACTGAACTAAGAATTGTTTTAGAAATATTCTCTCAGTAGAAATACTGGCATATTGCTTGAATAGATGAAAAGAAGTTGTTGCAGATCAAGTTAATTCTGTATGTTATATATTAGAAAAAAATTCGGAAGGTCAACACAATTCATACAAAGACAGAACTGTTAGAACGCATAAAAACGTACAGTTTCAGCTGGCAAGTACTTGCCCACTGCTCAAAATACTAGTAATTTATGATCCATATAAATATTTTTAAACAAGATCAGATTAAGGGGGCTAAACCCTTGTGAGATTCAAAAGGCTTTCCCATTTTTGACTCTCAAATAGATTACTTTTTGATTGCCCACCATTAGTTGATTCATGAGGAAAGTCAGATGGTTTTAGAAAGGTGGTAAATTTACAGGCTAGGTCAGATTAATACTTTAAGACAGTTTTCTGACTTAAAGAGTGGACAGTAGCAGATGCTTAAGGAAAGAGTGCAAAAAGCAGGAGATACTCTCCCAAATTGTGGCAATTGGTGGTTTAGGGACTTCCTGAGCTGCAGATTAGGTGCTGGAGCGTGTCCAGAGAAGGGCAACGAAGCTGGTGAAGGGTCTGGAGAACAAGTCTTATGAGGAGCGGCTGAGGGAACTGGGGTTGTTTAGCCTGGAGAAAAGGAGGCTGAGGGGAGACCTCATCGCTCTCTACAACTACCTGAAAGGAGGTTCCTGAGCTGATTAGGTGCTGGAGCGTGTCCAGAGAAGGGCAACGAAGCTGGTGAAGGGTCTGGAGAACAAGTCTTATGGGAGGTATTTAAAAGACGTGTAGATGAGGTGCTTAGGGACATGGTTTAGTGGGCCTGGTGGTGTTGGGTTGACGGTTGGACTCGATGATCTTAGAGGTCTTTTCCAACCTTAAAGATTCTATGATTCTATTACATGAAGACTACTGTGATCAATGATCACCAAATAATCCTCCTATAACTTGACCAGTTCTTTTTGATAAATAACCCCCTCTCCAATGCTACGATGGACTTAAGAAATCAAACAATTTCAGATATATAAATGAACTTTAAGCTAGTAACTTTACTAATTTAATGATAAATATAAATTACAAATCCTCATCTATCTCACATATCAGGCATTCACTTAGATCCAGTGCAGCACTGAAGGGTTCCAAGCACATACTCAAATAGCTTTGAGCCTGGGAAGGTAGTTTTGGGGTCTATCTACACCACTCAGTTCTTTAACTCTTCCCAAGAAACGTTAAAGATACAGAGAAAGCACATCATGGGACTCTCGGATTAAAAGGATTACATATCTTTCTTTCAAAAGTGAACTCCACCCAATAAAGCATGCCCTGTTAGACTTTATCCATATTGACCTCTAAGTACAAGTTGCGTAAAACACAACCTATTATCAACTCTTGTTTAAAAACTAAAAGTAATAGCACTTTCTCTTCCTTCACCATTACTCTTTCCTTTCCTCTATTCAATTCAGTAATTCCACACTTCCCTTCAGAGCGCAAAAATGCTTCATCTATTCCCATCTTGGACTGTCTCGTAAAACCATCAATTCTAGGATTGTAGAGACTACCAACGTAAATTATTCACTTACCTGTTTTTCAGCTTGTCCATAATCCGATCCTTGGGGTGACAGAAAGTGACAAATATGACCATTGTTTTTTGCTTTTTCTCGAAGAGCCATAGCAGTTCGTACTGTGGCATTTCTAGCATGAACAAACACCATCACCTTAAGAGAGAAAGAAACGGGGCTGATGAGAAATAACAAAAGTCTTAATCAAATAATGAAAACACTTTAATTACAAAATATTCCTGATAGGAATGAGAAAAAAATAGTTAATACATGACATACTGATGAAAACGAATGTTGCTTTAGGGAAATTAAAGAGTGATCCTGCCTATATTGTATTTAATATTTTCAAAGAGCTTTTGAGAAGGTTCTCTTTTTTAATTCTTTAGTCTTTAAAAGATAGGGAATTGCTGGCAATAAATAGTTCATTTTCACAAAGTAGGGAGATTACTGTTGATGTAAAGATTTGAGTTATTTGACACATCCTAAATGATCTGGAAAGCAAATAGTGAGGTGATAAGTTTCCTGATGGTATGACTTGACTATGTGAGACAGCTGAAACAAAAACTGACTATAAAGAACCTCAGGAGGATATTGCAGTCCCAAACGACTGGACAATCAAAGAGAAGGAAATTAAGCACCAACAAATGCAAAACACATATGGGGATATGAATTTTTAACTAACAGATATGAATATGGGTTTTAAACCACATACTATCACTCAGTAGGATACCTTAGAAACACTGTGGACATTTCCCTGAAAATATCAAATAAGAGTCGAGTGGTAATAAAAAATTATTTGTACCCATGTCTGCAGTAGGCTTTGAAAATACAGTTAGGTATCATCCACCCAACCCCACTGTCACTTAATTATGCTTATTACCATCACATATGGTATCTGAACCAAGAGACCGTAATGAGATGTTAATACTTAGCCCTTTAGATATGTATATAAAGCAATTTAAACTGATATTAAATTAAGATTCACTGCAAGGCACATTTAAGATAAATCATGGCAGTAAGCCCCCCGATTGGTGTAGAAAGGGAAAAGTGATTAAATACCACTTAATTCAAGTATAATAACAGTTCTGAATGTCTGTTAACCACATACTGCTGGAAAAGGTACACTATGGAAAACACTTTATATTGCCCCCTAAGCACTTTGTATTGTCCAGGGTTTGCTTAAATTGACCCCACGTACTTGGTCAGACAACTCTCAGTTTGATCAAGTATGACAATTTCTGTGTTCTTAAAACTCACATATGGAAAAGTTTGAGTGCCTTGCTCTTGAGTAAATGGCAAACACTGTTTTGCAAGTCCATCTAATTTTAATTAAAAATGTAACCATGGAGTTATAATTCTGTTTTAAGATATTTTCCGTTGAATTTTAGAACTTATATGTCAAATTCCAGAGAACTGCGGGTTTAATTTTGGCCTTTTGTCAGCATCATCCTTGTATCAACTTGCAGTGCATAACTGAATTACTTTAAATGAAACACCATTAACAAAGTAGCAGTATTTAGGGTATAATTAAACAAGTTATTGCCTCTGTTCTTAATTTCGAAATTAATAATTTAATTGTAAATGTATAATGCACATATAATTTTATATAAAAGTAGACATAATATTTGTGAATTTAATATAAATTATAAATTTATAATTAAAACCCAAGCAAATTAATTCAGGTGACAATACACAGAAGAGATAAAAAGAGAAACAATGTGTGCATAACTATTTGCTTACTGGGAGCATTACCTGTTTTAGCTTATTTGATACATCTTTCCATCATCAATTTAGTAACACTGTGACTCCTACAATTATTAACTTTCATCTGAGCTGAAATATTCTCAGACATGTCACAGCAACATACCAATTTTCTCTAACTTAAAAACAACATATTGGCAAAATCTTTTTAAAATCTCTTCAAAAAGTAAGAGGACCACAACATAACAAAGTACAGTGTATGTCCCTTCTGTCTTCATTAATTGCTTAAGGATTACTTGTCTATTTACCTTTTCGTAATTTTTTTCTATAGAAGGCCTGAATACTGAATACTGAAAACTACTCAAAACAGCAGTTTCTTTTTATTAACAGATCCACTGTGTCTTCTCCAGTGAATTCTCACTTCTAAACTCTGTCAACAGGTTTGACTGAAAAAAATCTTCACTTTTAAAATCAACTTGATTTTATAGTTTACTAGTTTGTTTCCTTCTTAAATGGCGTCATATTAAAATTTGATTCTTTGTTGAATAGATTAAAAATTAATCTTGTGAAAATAGCTAAAATCTGAAAGTTGAGAAACTGAGGAAAATACAGTATGGGCATTAAGGTGAAATAGGATTTTTTTTTTTATCCAGGTAATTTTGAAACTCCTGAATTTTAAAAACATTTGACATGTTGATTCCTTAAAAAAAAAAAAAAGTCACATATCACATAAGGTGTGATTTAACCACAAAATAGGTTTGTTGATTGGTTTTACACTGTATTTTAATTTTTTAGATTCTATTTGATTTCAGTCTTGCATTAATTTTGAAATCGCCACCTATATCTTAAATCTAAAATGGCGACTTTGAGAATGGTGTTTACACAGCATTAATATTAATTAAGTTCAAACATATTAAACTAGTATATTTTTGCATGCTTTGACATAATATTGATAAATATCTTACTGGTTCTCCTGACCTTTTTAAAATTCCTAATCAAAGACCAAATGAAGTGTGGTCTGACTGAATTTTTTGGAGTGAGTGTGAATTATATGGCTAGAAGGACAAATCTAAAAGAGCAGCTGTAAGCAGGATTGCTTTTAAGCTTTGAAAGCAACTAATAAAAAGAGACAAATAAAATAGCAAGCAAATCTGCACACCAGTGTGTATCTATATCCAATAAACCTCTTAATTAACCAGGGTATAATTCGTTACGGCTTGTTTAAACAAGATAAAAAGAAAGAGTCATATTAGGAGGTAACTTCAAACTAAACAAGCTACAGTAAAAAAAAAAGATAAAAATTTAGGTGTAATACTTTGGTGGTCTAGACCTATTTAAGAGAAAAAGGGGTAAAAAAGCTGTACTGGGAAATGAGAACAGGTAAAACCGTAAGTCATTACAGTTACACAAAGCAGAGCACAGACTATTAGTCACAGAAAAGATGACAGTAGAAATTGAAGCCCTTAATTGAAGAATCTTCCTTTCAATTATTATATACATGAACAGCAGCTGCAATGTTTGTATAGAGCCCATTCCTGAAACTGTAAGTGTGAGGAAAATTCCTCTTAGTTCCAGTCATAATCAGGCAGAGCCTTTCGGAACTGACACTCTGAAGTCAACTGTCACTATGATGTCCTGGTTCTGCTAAGACAATGATAAGCAACACCAGAAAGATAAGGAAATATTATTTTGAAGACTCAGAAGAAAATTTGTTGTTATTTTTCAGGTTTCTTCCCTGCCCTTAATTCTACCTCACCTTGAAAGCAGATGAAACTGTGCTAAAAGTAGCACACTGGGGGATGAAGCTGTAACATTCATATTTAATTTTTACTAGTCATACAGAAATATTAGAAACTCAACTTAATATGAACCTCTGTAGGAAAATAAAATCTAATAGCTGACACTTTGCTATAGAATATTATACAAACATATAAATGCAAGTATATTGTATAACTGAATCTTTGCCGCTGAACATTTCTAAAATGACTACATAGCATTACTTTTGCAATACTTTCCTTTCAATTAACATACTTTAAAACACATCACTCAATAATCAGTTTGTCTCAGTAGAAAAGAATCTGAATCCTTTTTCAAATTCTGGCACCTTGATTTTATTTGAAATGGTGACAGACTTGAGGATTAATCTAAAAAATGACAAAAAATATTATGTAGCACTATGGAATGTTGTAGTTCTGTAATTCTGTACAACTATTACAACCAATGTAATAGTTGTACAGAATTAGGCACACCTGCAGTCGTCTACTTGAGATGCTAGATAAGATACATACGAGCTCAAGAAATGCAGATATTAAAAGCAGAGCTACAAGGGGTACTAGAAAAGACCAAAATGCCTTAAGAAATAAGACCATAAAATAAATTAAATTGAAATTTTGTAGAAAAATTGAATTCTTGGCAGAAATAAAATTATACAGTCCAGGGTACTGGGCAGGGAATTGAAGAAGAGGGGGGGAAAAAAAAAAAGAGAACTACTGTGCAATGCTCACAGTTAAAAGCCCACAAGAATATTACCACTGTAACAGCAGGATCGCTGATATAATATTCAAAAGCCATGAAAACACTAATCAAAATGTTTATGAGAAACATTTTCAGATTTTTTTCATGGTGCTGAGAATGTCAACAGTGCTGGAAAAAGAGTTGGAAACTTCTACCTAAAAACAACTAAAACGTTCCTCTCATCACTGCCTACCATAGTATATGTTCAGAAACAATCCTGGGACCTTTAGGAACTTCGATACTAGGAGGCATGGAGTTTAGATGCTTCAAGAACCGGAAGACAGATGGATTGGGATCACATTGCACTTTATCCTCCAAGGTCCCTTTATCTTTTCTTTTAACCATGATACTTAATAAATTTCAATAAATTAATAATATTGAAAACTTCTGGTATCCAATATTATATATAAAAATAAACTGTAGCCATTAAGAGCATCAACATTCTTTTTTACTCCATTTACCCAGTGATCTGAGGGGTTAATATTTAAAGATGATATGTTTTTGCTTTCATTTAGCAGAGACTTGGTACAGACTTGACAAAACTTCAGTTATGATTTCTAAAGCTTCTGCCTACATGCAGCTGAAACTAAACAGGACAAGCACAATTCCATGCTGGGTTTTCCACAAGACTTGAAAAACAAGCAGACTGTTTCTCTGTCAGGGGACTGGAAGATGTTTCAAGTGCATCACTAGGAACATATGGAAAAGTTTGAGTGCCTTGCTCTTGAGTAAATGGCAAACACTGTTTTGCAAGTCCATCTAATTTTAATTAAAAATGTAACCATGGAGTTATAATTCTGTTTTAAGATATTTTCCGTTGAATTTTAGAACTTATATGTCAAATTCCAGAGAACTGCGGGTTTAATTTTGGCCTTTTGTCAGCATCATCCTTGTATCAACTTGCAGTGCATAACTGAATTACTTTAAATGAAACACCATTA